AAAAATTAATACTAACCTTTGTTCCTATTATAAGTTCCAAATAGGTTTGGCACACAATTTAAGATAGTGAGTATTGTGTGGTGGAGAGTTGTGCAGAGGAGAAAGAAATGTGTAAGAAATGTTGTGAGCCACAAATTCTTTACCAAAGTGGGAAAGTGGAAGTTTTAATTGGAACGGACGAAAATGAAAAGTTGGAAGTTATAATAGGAACGGAGGGAGTATAAATATGAAAGCTTAATACGTGGTATAAAGGGAACTTAATAACTAAGAAACTTAGCAACTTGGAATTCAATGGTCAAAATTTGGTCAAAAATCGCGGCTGCAGCAGTTTGGATAAACGAGATGGCTTAATAACTAAGAAACTGGAATTCAATGGTCAAAAATTGTGGCTGCAGCAGTTTGGATAAACGAGAGGGAATTAATAAGCCCATGATTGATTTAATGTTTTTTAACAAGAGGGAAGAATTGAAGAAACGAGAGAAAGAACTTACCCGTTAATGTCACAATCGCAGCTCCTCGCAGTAGCACTCGCAGGACCTCCCAGTGTCATTGTAGCACTCGCAGGTCGTAGTAGCAGCGGCCAGAGCTCCTAGCAGTAGCAGTCGCAACTCCAAACGATGACCAGTAGCGATTATATTTTTAAGTTTTGTAAGACCGGGCTTTTTTACACACCGAGTAATAGGGAGTAACTCGCCAATTTGACCAACTCACCGAGTAGAGAGTACTCGCCGAGTAGATAACCGAGTACTCGCCGAGTACATAACCCAGACCACAACTTGATAAAATGATGGATAAGAGGAAAGTGTTCATCCATTTGATGACAGAAAAGGAAATCAAGTACAACAAACGAAATGTAACATTGGAAGTACAAATTAGGGAATGTTTACAATTCCCCAAAAAGCAGCACCTTTTTGTTTAAAAAGTTGAAAAGTGTGTTATAATGGATATTTCTACTTAAATTTAAAAAGTAAAGTTAAAATCTAAAAAAATAATAGTAATGCTTTCAACGGTTTTTTTGTTTTTTCTATTACACAAAAAAAACATTTTTCATCAATCACTACTTTTACTTTTACAAAATTACTTTATTTTCAAACCTGAATAATTTTTATTATTAAACATTTTTCAAAAGTAGAAACAAGACATGTCAACCTCCAACATGAACTTTATGCATTTGACCAGGAGGACCCAAGGCTGAAAAGGAAAAAACAACGAACTCTAAACATCTTTCATGAGGAGTTATTAGATTCATCATCATCAGAAGTAACCGGGGTATCAGTTGACTCGGCAAGAGATTCCAGCATGAGGACAACCTCAGCTGGATCATCCAAATAGTATTTCGCGTTACTGGGCTTTTGTCCAACCGTGCAGGCAAAAACCTTTGTGTTGTGAGAGAGGATACTTCTTGATAGACCATCACCTGTTACTTCAAACAGATCCTCATCTGACCTGTCATCACCAATGCAGAGCACAAAATCCGCCAGCTTCCCTTTCTCTGCCATTGATGTGAATATTTTCTCTGCAACTAATCCTTTGGTGACTCCCTGAAAAGACAATGCAAATAATACTTGAAATTACGCAATTATAGACACTAATCTTTGGTACAAAGGTGGCCGAACTCATACCAAAAACTAACAGGTTAACATTGACCATTTAACACAAATGATTGTCTGATATATTTTTAAAATAATAATAATAATTCTTATAGTTATAAATATAATTATGATCATGATCATAATCATAATTATAATCATAAGAATAACATTAATTATTATTATTATAATTATGACTATAATTGTAATTGTAATCACAATAAGAAAACCGGTGCCAACAGATGGTTTGAGGAAGTACCAGGGACATACAAACCATTACTTTGGGTAAAGGTAAAAATGTGGGTGAAAGTGCCACTTCCTTTCATTTCAGCCAAACAGTAACTTTTACACTACTTTTAACTTTTACATAAAGAATGATAAAGACGAATGAACAGAAAGTTTTCCTACTAAAGTTAAAAATCATTAACATTTGCACCCCAAAATTTTAGTTTTTCAAAATATGAATTCTTAATTTATTTTAGATCTATCAAAATGAAGTGCAAACTACAATTTAGAAGAAAAGATGGGATGTAAACTAAAAACTTCAGGGTGGAAATATTAATGATTTAAAAAATGGAGTTCAGACACAATTTTGAATGACAGGTGAGATGCAAAGATAATAATCAACACATACTATTATCCTCTCAAAACAGTACAAACTATGCATACCTGAGGCTTGACATCGACAATGAGCTGCCCACTTTTCACAGCAACTGGTTCATTTGCCAAAACACTCTCTAGATGATCAAGCATCTCCTTTGCCTGAGAAAACCCAAAACCAGGATCCGCATCACGATACTGCCAAACTATAGCACTATCCTTTTTCTCAATGGAAGAACCATCTGTGGCATCAGTATAAGATTGCATCACTGGTTCTGCAAGCTCCATCCATCCAAAATCAGAGCTCTGACATGGCACTTCCCAATCATGATCTTGTGACCACCTGTGTTTACTAAGGGTGGGCAAAATAACTGAACCGGCATGGTACCGAACCGGATCGGAAAACGAGATTTCAAACGGTTCTCAAAAAAATTGTCCCGAACCGGATCGGACCGATTCCAAACCATGCCATGACTGGTTCTCATAAAATGAGAATCGGTACCGGACCGAACCGAACCGAATTATAATTTTATGAATTTATATAATTTTATAATTATGTATAAATGTATACCATATTACCACTAATTACTTTGATTACTCATTTGCACTTTTGCTAATTGCTAGTTAATCAGATCGGTAAAAATGAATAGTATTATATGAAATTCATTAACTATGTTATTGTTAGTTATTTATGTTTTGTACTATTATAGTTTATAAGAAATTCATTAACTATATAATACTACTTCTGTCTCAAAAAACTTTTCCATTTTCAAAACTTTGACCAATTATATTTTTTATTGAGAATTATTTATAATATAAAAATTATATGAAAATGTTCTATGTTAAAAATACTTTCATAAAAGTATAAAATTTATTACTTCCATAATACTCTATACTAATCAAAATCATGGTTCAAATTTTTTGAAATGACTAAGTTTTTTAGGACGGATGTAGTATGAAAATTGATAATTGTGTGGATTTTTGGATGATGACTAAGTTTTAATTTATCGAAAAAAGTGGCATTGTTTGGCATTGGTATGGCATGGTAATGGACCATTTGAAAATGAAACCGAACCTAACGGGTTTAGGTCTAAGACCGAACCGAACCGAACCGTTTCAATAGTAACGGTCCGGGTACGGGTTCGGTAAAATATTGGACTGGACCGCGTCCACCCCTAGTGTTTACCACCCGTGGATCGAGCTGATCTATTGATTGATTAAGTTCTGTTTTTGTTTGTTAAGTACTTCAAGCAGTATGTTCATATAGTGTAGCCTTAACTGTTTTAGAATAGCTCACAACCAGTATCGCGTCCAGCTATCACGCTCAACAAGTTTCGCACAACAAAAATCGCGCACGAAGAATCACGCACGCTTGAGAATGTCGCACGGAGAATTTTGCACAGAGACAATGGCGCAAGACAATCTTTTGAATGGCGCACAAGATTTGGAATGGTGCACGGAGTCTCGATAATGACACACGAGATTTGAAATGGCGCACGGAGTCTCGACAATGGCGCACGAAGGTTGAGAATATCGCAGGGGCTAAAATGGCGCACAGAGTTGTTCTGAATGGCGCACGATCTGGGTGTAGAAAATGTAGAGGATGATGCCTATCAATCACAGAAGCATAAACCTGTAAACATTTTCCTACAAAATCAGTAAACAAAAACAGTCTGCAAATCGCTCATGAGAAGAAAAACGACGATGAAGTTTCGCGCAAGCTTTTTCTTCTCCGCTTCAATCGTTTGATCGGTCCCGCTCTGATACTAAATGTTTGTCCCTGTATTCTACACTACAATGTATGAAGATGGATGAGAATAGGTGTAGAAGAAACTTTCCATTGATTCCCACAAAGTTTACAGAAGGATGAAGAAATGTTGGCGTAAAACTTTCGTAGGGGATATAGGCTATCTGCGCAGGGAATGTTTTGAGAGTGAAAAGCTTAACCTATTCATTCTCTAAATTGCATATATGTAGCCTTTAGAGAATGATATGTTTACAAATGATTGGGCTCCTTTTCCAATGAGGCTCATTCCCTTTTAGGCATATGAGCCTTTACGATAAAAGGCATATCTAATTAATTCTACTAAAAGGCTAGATAAAATACATAAATAGCAATACAAATAATATCTCTAACAAGATCCAAGAAGAGCCTTCATTTGGATACTCCATTTTGCATAATTTTCTTTATTTAACCGAGGGATAAAAGAAAGAGAAATATTGTTGTTCATATTGATTGAATGGCTCTAATACCAATTTGTGGGAAGTAAAAGAGAATTTTAACATAAACTTCAATATATTAAACTTGCTCTTGGTGTTGGTGTTGAGCTTGATCACTTGTCACTCATACAATGAAAGGGGTGAAGGTATTTATAGGATAACCTCTTTACATTAAAAGATGTGACTCCGCACATTCTAGACCTTACATGTTCCTAAATAATAATTACTATAGGAGTTACAAAAGACTTTTCTTATCCCTAGGTAAATAAATGAACCTAGAAACTCACAAGGAACACCAAGAGACTAATAATTAGTTACTCCAAGTTTAATTTAATTTAATTAATATCGAACATGTGACTCGTCATCTATAGTGATTTATTATTCTAAAATACACTATAATGATTAGTTCATAGTTATTCTAAAATAAGTTATTGGATTACTTGTACATAATGGCTAGCCACATTTTTATCCAAATCATAACTAATAAAATTCTTGTCGGGAAAAACTTTATTAATAATATACAAGTCATTTTTTCATTATTAGTAAATGCTTGTCATTTGTTGAAAAAACGGTGTTCCAATCCAATAATCCAATAACTGTTCGATTCACACCTACCACGATAATAGCTTTATAGGCCTACTGATCGTCTGATTGAGATATATGTATGACATGCGGTCCTCTTTGTAAGAGTGAACTTTATCTACAAACCCGGAAAAGGCATCAACATAATTAAGAATCCTGCAAAGGACTCATACAGAAGCTATGTTTAGTTCACCAATTATCCTGAAAAGGCAGTCCAATATTTTACTTGTTAGTTTGTTGTTTTATATTTTTCTAATAAATGGTCGGGGGCGAGTAAATTATTAAGATGATAGGAAACAACAAAATGGTGATTTTCTTGCAGGTGAGAATTGCTTTGTATGGCTTGGACCAAAACCATTAGTAATAATCACTGATGCGGAACTTATAAAAGAGATACTTCGTATATACTAAACAGGATGTTTATAGAAAGATCACTCATCCCAATCCACAGACCAAACTGTTGGCTGAAGGACTTGTGTTACTTGAGGGAGATAAATGGGCCAAGCATAGAAGGCTTATCAATCCTGCCTTCCATTCCGAGAAATTAAAGGTTCCTAATTCATTTTTCTGATATTTGTGTAGTTCTAATATATTTTTTGTATCATATATTGTGATGATAGATTTTTTTCTAATGGTCTTTCTTGTGTAGCATATGCTACCAGCATTCTACTTGAGCTGTAATGAGATGCTGGCTAAATGGGAAGATGTTATACCGGTGGGAGGATCAGGAGAGCTCGATGTGTGGCCTTACCTTGAGAAAATGAGTAGTGAAGTGATTTCTCGCACTGCGTTTGGGAGTAGCTATGAAGAAGGACAAAACATATTTGAACTTCAAAAAGAACAAGCTGAGCATGTAATCGAAGCTTCCCGCAAACTTTATATCTCAGGGTTGAGGTAGGATCAAATAGCCTCTTTAGCTTCTCGTGTTGAACACCAATCTTTTTTTGCATTCCTTGCCTGATGTGTGTTTGGTTGATCAAACACGGTTCCCAGGTTTCTGCCAAGTAAAAGGAACAGAAGAATGTATGAAATCGAGAAAATAGTTCAAATGTCTATAAAGAGCATAATTGATAAAAGATTGAGTGCAATGAGAGCCGGAGAGCCTAGTAAGGAGGATCTTTTGGGAGTACTATTGGAGTCGAATTGTAGAGAAATTGAAGAGCATGGAGATCAAGTTTTTGGCATGACATTAACGGAAGTCATTAATGAGTGCAAGCTTTTCTACTTTGCTGGGCAGGAGACGACTTCTGTTTTGCTTGTCTGGACTATGATTTTGTTGAGCACTCACGGTCATTGGCAGGAACGAGCCAGAGAGGAGGTTATACAGCTCTTTGGGAAGAACAAGCCAGATCTTGATGGACTGAATAAGCTAAAGACTGTAAGCTCTTTGCAACTGCCATTTCCCGGTGCCATAAGTGGAACCCGATCACTAGCAGTTCTAGTTCCTGCCCTCGATGGGATTATTTACCTTTTCCATGACACTAGAAATCCATACAATGGAACCAGAACTGGAATAGCCGGTTCTGCTACCTGAAATCCAAAATGGGACCTGGGCAAGTTTTCATTTGTTCGCTTCCCAAGTCCCCCTTTGCTGTTTCCCAGTTCCAATGTGGAACGTTGTCAACCCCAAGGCCTATGTCACCCCCAGGGCTTAGTTTTCAGCATCCCCAGACCCAAGCAGCTAACACTTTTTCAATTTTAAAAAAATCTTATTTATGTGACATGTACAGGTAACAATGATTTTGAATGAGTCTTTGAGGTTATATCCGCCTGTGGCAACTGCGGGACGAAAGGTACATAAAGACACCAGATTAGGGAAGCTAAATCTACCGGCTGAAGTTATGTGCTTAGTACCAACAATCCTAATCCACCGCGACAAGAAGCTTTGGGGTGACGACGCAACTGAGTTCAAACCAGAGAGGTTTAGCGAAGGAGTGTCGAAGGCAATGGGAGGGAAAATGTCATTTTTCCCGTTTGGATGGGGGGCCCGAGTGTGCATTGGACAAAACTTTGCCATGTTAGAAGCGAAAATGGCCCTGGCAATGGTTCTCCAGCGCTTCTCCTTTCAGTTGTCTCCGTCCTATACTCATGCCCCATTCGCAATAGTTACCGTTCACCCTCAGCATGGTGCTCCCTTGATTTTGCAAAGACTGTAAAATCATAGATGCTGATTGTAAAACTTTGCCATGCTACATTAATTAACAAATATTAATAAAAAGTCGTGCTTCAATGATTCTCATTGTGCACAATTTATGCCCTCTACTATGCTTGCAATTTCAGGGGTGTAGGCTATTATACAGTGTTATCTTTCATAACTCCGCTGGACATGGGCGGTTCCAGTTCCACACTGGCTGATCCCCAGTCCCAAATCCCCCCCCCCCCCCCCCCCCCCCACTGGACCTAAACCAAACTAGTTCCAGTTTGGTCTCAAACAAGTCGATATACTCTTTTTTATAATAATGGGGCCAGACTGTTTGATTCAGTCCATTTTAGAGGAACTCGGTGAGTTAGTTTCGGGTGCTTGTTCGGCTCCTTTTATTTCAGGTTCTGGACTGTGTTTTTATCCGTCCGGTTCTGGAACTCAGTCAGGTCTTATGTCACAATAACATGCTAACAGCAAGCTCCACTGTGACTTCCGCACCAAATTGTGCCTTAAAATGAGAATTTTAGCAATAGCTAGTACAAACTACAGAGTAGTCTTTCTTAATCTTATAGTTAACCCTTTTGTAATTCTTACTCTAGGAAGCTACATTATTTTTTTTAAAAAGTTGACATATATAACTAAATCAAAAGTTGGAGAATTAATTTGACTTTTATGGGGAAGTTCAGATCTTCTCTAACCAGTATATTGTTTGAGTACGTTTGATCATCTTAACTAAATGAAATATTATTAAAAATGGTTACAAAATTTTATTTATAAGGTTCCATCTTAGTGTAACTGTATTAAATAATTGTGAGTGTATTAAAGGGTCCTGGGCCAGGCACTAGTTAGTTTTGGCTGGCCCATAAGTGAGTATAAATAGAAGGGAGGGAGAAATAAGAAGGTAGGCATATTTTCGAATAGGAAATGGGACTCTTGGGAGAGATAGGCACTCTCGAACTTGCCTCTATACTTCTTCTGTTAAATTTCTTCTGCTGCTGTGTAATTACCTAAGGATCTGATGATTTCTCAGAATTCTTTGACTGAATCTACTACTGGTTTTATTGTTTGGAACGATTCCTAACATTGGTATCGGAGCATTCGCTTCCTGGAGGCAGGAAATCAGAATCATCGATCATCTCAGAGCAACAACAGTCCGGAACGATGGAGGAAGTATATATGACGCCTCGAATGGAAAAGAGCTTTGACAATATAGAACGAATTATGGAGGAGATGAAAGCATCAATGGAGAAAACGACAAACATGCTGGCAAATATGACGGCAAACATGGCGGAAAACATAACCACGATGAGCGAACAGTTTCGATCCAAAGGAAAATCGCGATCCCAGCATCGTCAACATACGCGACCTTCAACAACATCTCAGAAGTCGTCGCCAACATCTCACAGTTCGCAGGCTTCAGTATCGGCTTCAAGCTCTAAAGCTTCGTCACGAAATGTTAATCCTCAATCATCTTCATCGCAAATCTCTTCTCCCCTTTCGCAAACTGTATCGCAAGAGAAAAATATCAGTTTGCAATCGCGAACCCTAATTACCAGCTCACAATCGCGAACTCACTCTCTCAATTCGAAATCGCAGAGTTCAACGCTATCTTATCCTTCCAGTTCGCAGAAATCTTCGCAGTCAACATCGTCCTTTATTTCTCCAAGTTCGCAGATGCGAACCACTTTTCCCCGTTCGCATTCGCGAACGACTATTCTCAGTACACAGGATTGGTCGCAGCAGAAGAAATTTAAGAGAAGAAGTATAGAGGCAAGTTCGAGAGTGCCTATCTCTCCCAAGACTCCGAGTTCCTATTCCAAAATATGCCTACCTTCTTATTTCTCACTCCCTTCTATTTATACTTACTTATGGGCCAGCCCAAAACTAACTAGTGCCTGGCCCAGGACCCTTTAATACACTCACAATTATTTAATATACTTCTATTATTATTAGTATTATTATACTAATGGGTTCCTATCGGTAACTTTTTAATTTATTAATAGATCTTAATGAGGTTCCATATTAAATGTGGTATTATTTGTTAAATTTTTGTTATAGAAAGGGAAATCTATCTAAGGATGATTCACTTGAACAAGGATGGATTGGGGTGGGGGGGCGACCGTTTCCCTTAGACTTCCGATTTTTTCTGATATATACAGCGGCGGATGCAGGAATTTTCGATTGGTGGAGCGGCAGTGTAAAAAAAATACATATAAATATATACAAATATATTAAAATTTCAGGGTAAATATATCTAGGAAAACAAAATTGGAGGGGCGGCGGCCCCCATTAGCCCCTGCCTGTGTCCGCCGCTGGATATATATGTAATGTTTTCATAAAATGTTCATACTTTAATTAGATATAAATATTTTAGCCCTCTGATAGCCGTTATATTTATTTGTGTTTAACATAAGTATTTATAAGTATTTGTTGGAGAAAAGAGGAGAAATCGGGCAAATACCTTCAAAATGGGAGCTAGAGCATAAAACCATTGCGATGAACGGCTTTTTGGACCAAGAGTATAATGTTCTGCCCATAATTCGAGTATAACTTATTGTAGATAATTCCAAATGACTCGATTCAAAGTTTCATGTGAATTATAACTCAATAGCCTACAAATGTTGCAAAGACATCATGGCCATAATATGAAAGGACCAAGACTCAATCAACCAATAAAGTCAGATGTTGCTGATGGGATTTCTGGATGCATACCTCTCAGTGTTTTATCCATATCTTTTGATTGGATGATTAAAAACATGTCATTCAAGTTTTGGTAGATAGAAGACTTCATTATCTACAGCTTAGGTGAAGAAATCATGTCCAAATTCGTAGCGGAACAACCCCCAAATCACAAGACAAAACCGGCGCCGGTTGCTTGTAAAAATACCGGTGCCGGTTCAACCTGTTTTTCATCGAAATCTCACTCAAACCGGTGCCGGTTAACCCCAAAACGGCGCCGGTTACCCCAAATCTGCAGAAAAACCAGACGACGTGCCCGGATATTTTGAGTTGATTTGAAGATATTTGGAAGGTATGGCTCGGGAATTTCGCCCCAAGTTGATTGAGGATCATGAATAGACCATCAAAGATCATTTTCAAGCCTATATAAACCCTCCAATTCATCCCAAATTGATCATTCAATCTCAATTTAATTCATTAGTTTATAACTAGTTTTTATAGTTTTTCTTTGTTCTTCATGGTGTTCTTGAGGTGTGGAAGCTCATTTCTTCCAACCATTGATGTTTAGGTAATATTTCCTTTATATTTACATGTTCTTCTACATTCAAAGTATTGTGATTTTGATTAATATGAGCGTTAGAGGCTAATTCCTTACGTCAAGGCTCAGGATGATTCTCTACGCCCGCTAGTTTTTTATATTTGTTCCAAATCAAATTTTAGGATTTATTCTTCTTATGTTTAATTTTCCATATATGTTATGCAACATAATAGTATAATGCATGTATTGATATAAAGCAACTAACGTTGAAATATCAATTGGAAACTAGAAGAAGTAATTCGCGTTTTACTCTCTTTAAACTAATTATATATAACTACGTTGTATAACATGTAGAGGTTTATATGGTCAATTAACGTTGCAATTTAAATCATTCTCTAGCTAGAAGAATAAACATACAAAGTATTGAGGATAGAAATATACCCGATCTTGTATGGTGCGTGTGTAGTATCTTAATATTCAACGGGGTTTTCTCTAGATGAATGTGAGCTGTAACGGGACTCGCACATAGCGAAAACCACGCTCTCACTGCCTTAACCGGAGTCGGGAATATAATAGTGATACCGTACTCATAAGAATTGACAAAGAACTTTTGTTGAATTCTAGTTAACGTTTGGTTGAATCTCGATGCCTTGGTCATTTTATCATACATTCACTTAAACAAACAAAAATCCTTGCATTTTAATTACTTTAATTCTCTTTTAATTCTCAAAACCGAGCTTTATAGAACGACGTTTCCCTGTGGATTCGACCCGGTATTTTAGCGGAATTTATTACTACATCGGCACTTGTCTACTTGCAAGTTTAACCCGATCACCCTCCTTAACTTTTGGTTGTCAAAGTTAATAGTTTTACGTAATATAGTACTTAATAGAAGATTTAAAAGAAGAAAAATGAAAAATAATTTTTCATTACTTAAACAAATAAATAATAGAATAACTCATTGTTTAAAACTTAGGATACTCATTAAAGAAATTGTCCTTAATAGGACTAAAACAATAGGAAAATTCCAATATAGGAGTCTCAATTGATATATTCCCTAAATAGGAGTTAGTAGGTTGTTGCACCATTACTTCATTATTTGTCTTTACAATTATACCATTCATTGTATTATTCTAATTAAAAGCTACTCTCTCTCCTCTATCTTATCTTCTATGCCCAACCTTCATCACCGTAATCCCTCATTCTCCCCCCTTTTTTATGTTTCTCCAGCAACATCAATCTCTTCTCTTTATTAATTCCCTGCAGCTGTTAAATTTATTTCTACAGATTCTCAGATGGAGTAGGGCGGTGGTGAAGGGCGTAGGGCAGTGGTACGGCGGTGAAGGGCGTAGGCCAGTGGTGCGGCGGTGAAGGTCGTAGAGCGGTGGTGCGGCGGAGGGCGGCCTAATTGATGGACATAGGTAAGTATCTAATTCTTCTCTTTCTTTTCTTTCTCCTTCTCCTTCTTTCACCATCTCTCTGTTTTTCGGTGATTAAAAAGGACTGAATCTGATATTTATTTATTTTTTTAATTTTTTACTCTAAAATTTTAAATTTAATTAATTTGGATCTGAAAAATATATAATAATCTTTATTTTTCGAAAATGGCAAAATTATTTTTAAAATGCCTTGTTTTTCAATATGTTTGGCAAATAATGTCATTTTACATTTATGAAGTGTTTTTCAATATGTTTGGCAAATAATGTCATTTTACATTTTTGAAGTCAACATTAATTTCGTAAAGATGGCAATTACATGGATATGCTAGGCAAATAATGTCATGTTTTACAAATGTTCTTAATACCATAAAAACACTTTAAAATGGAAATCATGGCAATTTCAGATTCAAAGTAGAAAATAATTTGTACAAAAATATTGACTAAAATTAATAATATTGTATT